GTGCAAAAGATCCATGTTCTAAAAGATTTCGCTCTACTCTTTGAATTATTCTTCGATTGGGAACACACCGATTAGGATATCGCTCTCTGTATATAGCGAACAGTAGCGGATAAATTACCATTAGGTACAGGTTCCCAAAGCCCGGATCATATCGATATATTCCCTGTTCGTGTAACTCATCATCTTCGTGATATTTGAAAACGAAAACTAATTGTTGTAAACACAGTAGAGAAGTTTGGCCGGCATATTGAATTCGCTATTATGAATTTTATAATTATGACTGCGGATTCGTATTCAGCGACCCCCAAAACCTTAATTTATGGAAATAGAAAAATTTTGTAGCCCTCTGTGCTTTAGTAATTAAAGTTTATTCCAAAAATTTTTTGACGACAGTCCATTCTAATTGCAATTCTGGATTCACCATCTTGAATTTTTAAAAAAGCCATGCGGCATCAAAAAGTAGACACTTCAACGAAAATTTTAAGACCTTTTGAAGTATTTTATTTCAAAAATTGAAGTGGACAGAGAAGGTGGCCCGCTTGACAGAGAATGCCTCATATATATTCTGTTTACAGTATATTTGCATCACAACATCAATAAAAAATTATACAATTTTAAGGTAGTTTTACCCACACGGAACAAAACCTTCATTAGACGTCCATATAGCCTCCATACAAAATCTACCTCCACGATGGAAGTTAGATAGCTTCTCCAAGAGAGATTCATACTATATCCATGATAGATGTCCTCTACAAATCTCGTCGACGTCTACTAGACATCTATTACGGATAAAAAAACCCGATATACGGCATCGCCGATATGATAGATGGAGTCAGTAAAGTTCTCTTTCTCGTATTTAAAAAACGATATAGAATGGAATAAAAGCCGCAGCATTATGATATTTTTATTTATTAACGAAATTTTTTTTATTAACGAGATTTTTTTATTTATTAACGAAATAATTTCTTGAAAAAAAGTCCTCAAAATTGATTTCTAAGATGAAACTAAATGAGATGTTGTTTTGATAATACAGTTTTATTGAGTAAAAATAATTTCAGGAATTTGATATGTTCTTGTTAAATGTAGTTATTTGTATTTTGTTATATTGCTGGAAATCTATAAAATCATCCAGCAAACCTTTATGAGATCTAGGATTGATTTACACAACGTTTGAAAATTTTTTATAAATATGGACGTTCTAATAGAGGTCAAATGGAAGTACAAAATGCGGAACTATGAATGTTTAGAGATCTATAAAAAGTTACATGGATGTCTAATGGAGGTTTTGAATATTTAGGAAGAACGTCTATAATGAATGTCTAATAGAAATTTTATTCTGTATGGGTATTACTCAACTCGATAGTGTGACGTTGCACATAATCGCGTACGTATGTACAATCTATGCAAAATGTTTTTATTGCATATGGAGGGACTAACTTTTGATTTGAATTTGCGCGATAAAATCACCTTAAAGCTTGACGTGTTCATTAGTAATACGATTTTGTTCTACGAGTTTTCTTTCACTTATGCATCTGTGGTCTTTCAAAAATAAATTATATAAGTGCGGATATTCTCTTATTATCTCTATCAACAATTCATCGCCATCTTTGTAAATATTTTCTATATTAATCCTAGACTACCACACCATATTTGCCACCCAAATCTACCATTCTGGATAAAATTTACGGCCTACCTATTTTGTTGCGTAACTTCGGTTCAAACATATCGATTTAGAACTTTTTTTTAAATCTATACGCCAGACAGTAAAAAAGGTGACTGAATGGATAGTAACACTCAA